CCCGCGAAGTGGTTTCATGTGGCCCGCGAAGCCATCCTGGAAACAGTGAGGGAATGGCCCCCTCTGCCTTGGCCCTGGCCCAGGCCGGCCGGGAGCCAATGTACAATTTTGTGGTGGCCATCTATGCTGAAACACATTCAGTCTTAGCTCCATAAGCCCCCCCCCCCTGCATGGCCTGAGAGGAACAGTGAGGCTCCTCCAGTGGACCATGCCTTGGCACTTGCCCTGGTCCCACCCCCTTCTGCCAGAGATCCTCAGATCTGTCCCATTCCTGCCCAGGCCCCCACAGGCGCCCTTGACACGAACGATGTAGAGCTAGCCACACCCACCCAGTAGGCCACACCCCTCCATCCACACCCACCCAGTAGGCCACACCCAACCTGGCCACATCCACTTGGCCACACCCACCTGGCCCCCTGAGGGCAACTGCAATGCTGATGTAGCCCTCAATGAAATTGAGTTTGACACCCCTGCATTATATGTTTAGAACCAATGTTTGAAATCCCCATCAAAAAAAATATCTTCGGATACATCAAAGGGGTTGGATTTATCTTTTCCTTTCATTTGTTTTCTTAGGCAACTGAAAATAGCTTTCTCCAACTTCGTGCTTTCCTGATGTGATAACATTGGGTTGGGTAAGACTGATTAAAAGAATAGAGAGATTATTATTTTTCTGAAAATCTATCCCAGATAGATTACATTTCCTGTTGCTACGGTAAATAAGATACAAGTTGAGCACACTTATCTAGAACAAAGGATTTATAAAATACATGATATCACAATTCCTAAAGCTTTCTCTAAAATTCCTAAATTCAACTTTAGAAAATAAATCAGTGGAAACGACCAATATGAACCAGTGCCTTCCACGGTTAGAAATATTTGTTGTTACCAAAATGATATTCTCTAAATGTCATGTTCTGCTGTATTTCCCAAAAAGAAAGGAATAAACAAATTGAACTGGTAAAATTTATTTGAAAAAAAAATGTATTTGTATGGAAGCAGAAGAAAATCCTACAAAAAAAACATTGCAAATAGTTTGTAGAATTAATATTAGACAGCATTGGTATTTCTAAATTAAAATGTTGCTACAGTTCATATCAGTCTTTCCTTTTGATACCAAACCTAAAGCAGAAGTCTCCTGGGGAAAAACTTGCTGCATAGATTTAATGTAAAATCTGTTTTCATGGATTAGAGCCTGATGTACTTACAGAATGGGATCAGTGACAAACTGGATAAGCAGGTGTGTGTTTGTATGACAAATTAAAGTCATGGGAGCCATCACAATTCACCTTCCCGCTAATCCCATAGCAAAGGGCCCCTGGGCAAACCACTCTAGCCTCGGTGGCCTTCGGGTGGCCCTTTTGGCGGCCCCGGTGGCCCCGATGGCCTTCCCAGCGGCCCTTGGAGGTCCGGGCGGACCTAGGACTTAAGAACTATTCCAGAGACTAGACTCGTGGGTGCGGCCGAAATTGGACATCTTTGCCCTCCCCCCCTTCCCTCCTCCTTTGATTNTCTCCTGATACTTCAGTCCATGAAAATAATCCATGGTTATCTTCTGTTCTACAAATCTTGCAGCATTGACAATATAGAGAAAGAAAAAAAATCACTGCTTCATCCAAGGTGCTGCAGATCCTGGAGAAACCGAAATCCCTCTATCCCTAGTCTATGCCAAATGGTACAAAACTCCTTATCCATGTATATTCTATTTCATCCCCTTCCTTCATGTAGTGTACATTGGCCTAAAGGTAAAGTTTTCCCTGTCCAGTTGTGTCTGACCTTAGGGTGTGGTGCTCATCTCTGTTTCTTGGCCTAAAAGATCCAGCATTGTCTGAAGACATTTTCCATAATCATGTGGCCAGCATGGCTATACACCAAAGGTGCATGGAATGCTGTTACCTTCTCACTGAAGTGGTACCTATTAATCTACTTGCATTTGCACGTTTTCATGGGGCAAGGACAGGAGCTCGCTCTGTTGCATGGTTCTCAGGTCTCAAATCCAGACTGTCAGCTTTCAGCTGTCAAAATCAGCGTCTTTAACCACTGAGCCATTGCACCCCTTAGACATGGGTCTAGCTGCATGAAAATTAAGGAAAAATAAATACAACAAAAAGTAACGTCATGATTCTTTCCCCATGTTTTTTGTTGTTCCACATTGTGGGAAAAAGAACCTATTGTTTTTACAGAAATTGCAGAAGACACGCTAGCCTGTGAAGAAAATACACTGTATATATTTCTAATCTTACGAGCTTGGCTAAAGTTTGAAAATTGCATGTAGGAGCTAGGATCAGAGGCCTTGCTATGCTAAAAAAAAAACCCCAGTCTTAACCAGAATTTGCTGATATGATAGTTACACTAGAGACAACCCCTAGGAATTATAGCCATAAAAGGTAATTTGTAAATAAAGGCAGGGGGCGATAGAATTTGAGTAATGGGAGATGTAATCAGGGGCGGAGGTAATGTATTCATTTAGGTGCTTTAATAGGTTGTGACGACCTGAATACTAAGCCAATGAGGGAAAGATGGGAAGTAAATTTGCAATGGCAATAGGGAATATAAAGAATATTAATGATTTAAGGTGAGTTGTCCACTGTACTTGTGTGCACGTGATACACCCTCTCTGCAAAGTGGTACAAATAAATTACCATTGTTTTCTCTTGGAAGTTTTGGCTGGTGATTTATTTAAACTAGACAACGAATCCCACAACAAGTTGTTTTGGAAATCACAGGTTAAATGGTAGACTGCTAAAAGGAAGGCACTATATGGCATTCCATCTTGTGTATTCTCTTTTAGAATCCAGAATGCGGATGGAGGCAAGCCAACTGATGTCACAAACAGGCAGGGATTACCACACTTGAATGAGATATGTGTTCTTCTAATTAGAAATCTAATCACTCCAGGCAGACTCATTACCGCTGCCTTTATGTTAGTCATTTTGGCAGCCTAAAGGACCATGGCAATTCCTTCCCCTAACTTGTAGTCAAGGACATCATGTTTTTAATCATTAAATACCTCAAACTCCCACTTTCAGGAAACACTGAAGAATTGCCTTTGAGTAATGTAAGGGGGATGGGTCTTCCAAATTCGCACCTGATAATCTTTCATCTGCAATTGTTGGCATCAAACAAGCACTTCTGAAATCAAAATTTTGTTGAAGTGCCCCTCTCTGCATTCAACTTCAGCTTTTGTTCAGTTGTGACATCAAATAGTAACTCTAGTAAAAAACATCAAGAAGGTTTGAATGGGAGAAAATTATAGAGAAAGGAGACTAGGAGGAGCCTACTATGATAGATAGATAGATAGATAGATAGATAGATAGATAGATAGATAGATAGATAGATAGATAGATAGATAGATAGATAAAAAGAAAGAAAGAAAGAAAGAAAGAAAGAAAGAAAGAAAGAAAGAAAGAAAGAAAGAAAGAAAGAAAGAAAGAAAAAGAAAATGCAGAGTCACAAGTCATAAGGAGCCATGGTGGTGCAGTGGTTAGAATGCAGTATTGCAGGCTAACTCTGCCCACTGCCAGGAGTTTGATCCTCACCGACCCCCTGGAGGGGAGGGCAGAGGATTTTGTGCAGTATCTGTATGACAAAGTCGCACGGATTCAGGAAAGCTTGGACTCCGACTGGTTAGTCCAGGGGGAGGAGACGGGTGCAGGTCTTGAGACGGTTGTATGGGAGGAGTTTGACTCTGTTGCCCCTGAAGATGTGGACAGGGTCCTGGGGAGACTGAATGCAACCACATGTTTATTAGATCCGTGCCCCTCTTGGCTGGTACTGGCAGCCAGGGAGGGGACACGAGCCTGG